TTTTATTTTTGTATGGACACATCAGTACAAAACCTCCTCATTCCCCCATACCCCTTAGGCATAAAAATCATCCTCTCATTTCTTGGTGGCATATAATCACTCCTTTCATGATGAGCATACACCTACTCATTTCCCCTTAGGCGTATGCATCCTCATTTCTCATGGGTGTACAATCACCACTTTCATTTTACATGGGCAGGTATAAGCATGCCTACTCATTTCCCATAAGTATTCAAGCACCTCTTTTACCATGGGCATAAAACTTGTACAGTATCTCTCATTAAACAATCATACATTCGCCCTTCTCATTTCCTATTTTCAAGGAATCAATACTTCTCATTTTCTATGGGCATACAATTGTCACCCTCATTTCCAAGATAAGCTAGGATGACAACTTTTCATGGGAGTCTCCCGGAAATTGGCACAGTCTCTCGTTCTCCTGGAAACTAACTCATCGTCCACAAATTTAGGATTTTCACATCAATTATCTCTCTGATTGAAGTCAGCTGGCCATGGATATTATCATCACATGCAGTATGGCCAAATAAAAAAAATTATGTTAGCCACCCCAATTGACTCAAAATGTACGAAATTGAGGTTTGGCATTTTAGTTTTTATTTATTTACTCTTTTTGACAACAAAAAATATTTTTTAATGAGCTATTCATGGCTGGAATAGACCATCTTGCTAAACGGTAGGTGATGCAACAGTGTTATGCGATTGTTTTGCTCTTCAATATAGATTTAAAAATGGTCTGTGTTGTATTTTTGCTTTTGTGGGATAAACAAATTATTGGTTAAAAAAAAAAAAAACTATTTTTCCTACCAAAAGATTTTTTGAATTTTTCTAAAACACAATTATATATATATATATTTTTTTTTTAATGTGCGAACTTTAAACTAGATCCCCAGGAATTGCTTCTCACAATTTGAGACCTCGTATGGCATATAGCAACCTTTTCATTGTTTGTGACTATAATACTGTAGTATTAAGTCACAATAAGAATATTTAGATGCTGCCGTGATGCCTAGTATTTTCATGAAAAGAATGCTTTTCAAATGTTGAATATTAAAAGTAACAATATTTTGTGGCAATTTAGTTGGTGGTTAACATGAATGAAATTCGATATTATATTAAATTACTATTTAATGTAAATATTGTTTGTCCTTCTCATACTAATTAATTTTGTCTCTGCAACATGAATAATAAAAAAGAAGAAATGAAAGCAGTATATTAAATCTTGGCGGTACTGCCATGTAAACTTCCTTGTGAAAAAGACAAAACATACATGCCCAAGGGTATAAGCAGGCCTGCTAATTGGGGTGTGTAAACCACTTTTCAGTTTGTGTAGCTTTATGGGAAAATATGACTTGCACATGTTAGGGCTATATTTTGCTTAATTTTACAATATTTCTTATAAATACAATTATTAAATTAATATTTTGATCATGGAATATAGTAAATGGTGTACAGTATATATAAATAATGTAATTAACAGGTGTAAAAAGATGGTACGGTAGATTTACTTCACAAGGAAAGTGTGTAATAAGTGTAGTCTGAAAAAGTAAATGAATTGTTTTGAAACAAACACATAACTAATTTTATCTTGGTTCTCTATTTGATGACACAGCGCTCTTTACTGACTGCTAATAATGTGTGTATGCCCCTTTAAGTTGTGCCCTTTGATGCATGTCTCTTAAACCTATACCCATTGAATGTCTCCCTTTAAAAATGTGCCCCATTTATTATGTACCCCTTAGCTTGTGCCTCTTAATGAACATGTTCCCCTTATTACATGTGCACCTTTTACAAAGCACACCTTTTATCTTCAGTCTTAATGCACAACTGGTTTCATTAATAAATGTTAGCGGACACAATAACCACTAGTGTGTACTACCATCATCTACAGAAGACGTCTTTCATCAGAGAACAACAGAGCTCTTTAAAACAGATACTGCTATGGCACTGTTCAACGCCCACTTACTCAAGACAGGTTTGCCCACACTATGAATGCCACCCATCAAAAGCCAATTACTATCATAAATGTTGAAAGTCACTTAATTATACTGTATACCATAGGGCTTGTGTACAATTGTGTGTTACACTATAGTACCTTTAAAGAACATAAATTATATGTGATGCTCTATATCTATTTCATGTAAAGGGTTCTATTCAATTCTCAAGAGAATAATATTAATATAGTAATGGTGGAAAGTTTTCAGAGGAAGATTGAAGGGGCCTATATTCAACATTGGCTCTTCCTTTTTTTGTAAATAAAAAAAATAATAGGAAAAAGTAAAATAACATCTTAAATAATGTTATTTTCAGCCTTCTAGAGGTGCCATTGAATTTCGTTCCACAATAGTTTTTTCTTTTTGATTCTTCTGTATACAGTATCTATTCCAGCTAGTAATAAGTCGGCTGTTCCGTGGCAAAACAACTTAACCTGAAATCGAGTTAAAAATTGCATGTTTGCAATTTGGCAACAACTTGTCGTACGCTACTAAAACTTTTGCAGGACCATATATCTATATAAATTATGATTATATGTAAAATTTTGAATTTTAATTTGAACAGATGGTGTATTGCTAAATTATTAACGATATTGACAGGTACATTGTTTTACCTAAAAAAACATTGAGAATTGTCACATGCAGTATTGCTGCAAGTTCAACATATTTTTTGAATATATCACGTCTGGGGCAATCATGCATTATCTAGCTTGTGCATACGTCCCGTTGTTAAGATTGTTGATATGTGTAACCCCATCAGCCAGTTGATTTTGCTGTGCCAATTTTTAAATACCATTCCAAGGCAAAACAACGTATCTTCATCGTAGATACGTTGTTTTTCCCCGTAATCTTGCAGTTACGTTGTTTTGCCTCAGGGCGGCTGAAATGTACAATGTAAATAGGGGTTTAAGCCAGGGTTCTCAAGTACTACGGCCCAATTACAGACGTACGGAAATGGAGATAAATACTACAGAAATATATACTACTATGCAAAAATAGGATTCGGCCTAATTTTATGGGAAGTCCCAGATGAAACACGATATGGCTAAATCAATGACACGCACCACGAAACACGATCCTGCTTCCAGGTTTCCCTGATCGACCGTACGAGTGACGATGATGCTATACCACAGCTGTACTATACTGCAATTTTGAGCAACCCATATCTTGCACTCAAGGCAAATTATTAGGTGCTACGGAATTTCTTTATTTACTATGGAAATCTAAAGATATAACTTGAGAAGTCTGGATTAAAGCAGCGAGTCTCTCTCTGCTAAAAGCGAATGACGGTTTTGTAAAGTTGTAGATATATGTACGTACATAAGGTGGTAGTGGCTTTCAGAATACCGTAAGCGACTGGCTGTGCCTCTTCATTGGTGAAAATGTGTAAGAGAGGTTGATCTGGTTGTACTAGGTGTAAGTGCACAGGCCAAGGTGATTTGGTTTGATTGGCTCAGTTTGCAAGATCAGTTACAAACCACCACTCACTCAGGTGCCACTGACAAGATAATATCATGGAGAACTGGCTGGAAGGATATTATACATCATCAGCCACCAATAAACAGCCCAAAGCTCTGAAAGGCCAATTGAGGACATTGACCTCATCAATTTTATGCATTATTGTTTGAACGTAATCATTTTAGTGAATCCTATTGAAAATGTAAACATCCGGCATTACCCATCATCTTAAATGTGGTGACAATGAAATCCTATTCTTTGGTTTTAAGGTGCAAGTGATTTTTTATTTTTTCAATTTTTATTTTTACTATTAGTTCTTTTGTTTTTCCCCCCTTTTCTACTTTTTGTCGAACACAAAGAGAGTTTGTTTATATGTGCTATATACTAATGTACAACTGCCATTCTTAAGGAATCATCCTGATTTTTTTTGTTTTTTTTTTGAGAAAACATTTTTTCCAACATTTCCCTCATTGTCTTTCAAAAATAATAGAATGGGTAACACTAACAAAAGTGTATAACAACTTGACTAAAATGGAAAAAAAAAGTGATCTTTTGATGATTATCTGTTGATTCAAAACAGCAAAGGTGTCCACTTAGCATCCAAACATGAAAATAAAATAGGATGAATAGGATTTGCAAGTAATTAATAGAATGATGAGTATGTCAGCGCACTGGGGCCAGTGTTTGATCTTTTGATTCAGCAGGGTTTTGGAGCTTATATTCTGCACAACATTATCCTGTGTTTGAACCTAACCTACAAGCTTTATTAAGCTAAATCCACTGTTGCTAGTCTTGAGTGAGGCTTCAGAGTTTTTAAGCTTGTTGGAATTAAACCACATGTCGGTCTAATTCCTCAAATCATTTGCCAGGCACGACTGTATCATTTTAATTTTTAAAAAATTTTTTGTTTAACATCGTGTTCGGAATTTGTGAGGTTTGAGACTAAGAAGTACCTTCTTTTTAAAGGTATATCATGCTTGAAAATGATAAAATATTTAGTGAAATATGTATGATTGTATTTTTTTATCTTGTAATAGTTTTATTGTTTTTTGATTGTTTTATAGTAATTATTTTTATAGTTATGACATTACCATTATTATTTTTATGAATTATTTATAACAGTGTTATTTTTATAATTGACTAAATTATTATTATTTTTATTTACAGTAAGTACTATCAATAATTTATTTATTAAAGTTATTGTTCTTATAGAGTTTATTTTAGTCTTCTTGTTTGTATTGATATTATAAATTTATTATTGTTTGTATAATTTCTTTTGTTGTATTTATGTTAATAATAATAATAATTAATTTTTTGCTGTTTTTTTCTTTGTGTGTAGTAATTGTTTATATTTTTATCATGTTCAATAATGACTGTTTAACTCTATCTTCCTCAATTGTCTTCCACAAACATATAGGCCAACTATAGGCCTATTGATTATATGATGTATCCACTAAAACAAATATGTGATGTTCATTTTCTTCTTAATTTCTACTTGATTGATTGAGTGTTGAACATTTTTCCCTTTAGGTGATAGCCAGAATTATTTATGTTGTTAACCGTTCTTGGACAGGAAAGATAACATTGCCGGAATTTCGACGATCCAACTTACTGTCGGTGAGTTTAATTAACATTGTCTATGATCCCCGAAGCCATTAACCATCAAGGGAAAACGAAACTCTGAAAGAAAGAGTACAATGATGCACTTTAATGATATTACAAGCCCCTATGTTGTGGTCAAGCATTATTTATCATTTAATATGACTGAAGAAAATTTACAGTAAAGTATATAACTGGGCCTATACTTAGTTTGTTCGGCGGGGAGTACCTCTCCTAGGCCCATGCTAGTTCCACCTTGGCATGTCGCCTCATAATATCTAAGGGTCTTCACTGATATTCTATAACTGTGACAGAAAAAATTGGATTTACTTATATAGTGGAGCAGTGAATGATGTTTTTGGTTGTTGTATTTTATATCAAGTCATGTTGGTTAGTGTTTTTAATGTTGTTGCTTCTGTTTTGTCATTAATATTTTTTAGGTGTTGCCATTGGCGTCACTGTATAAAGATTGCTGTTTCTATGTACTGCATTATCTGTCAACTCAAAATATCTTACCAACAAATACAGATTTTTTTTTTTTTTTTTTTAATCAGGTAATACAGTTGCTTGAGGAAGATGATGATATCAATCAGATAACAGATTTTTTCTCCTATGAACATTTCTACGTTATTTATTGCAAGTTTTGGGAATTAGATTCAAATCATGATCTCTTCATTGACAAGAAGGACCTGAGCCGACACAATGAACATGGTATAGTATGACCTCACACATGAACAAGGGTCAACCTAAAGTCCTATGGGGGGCAACTAGATAAACAATTAAAATCTAATAATCCAGGTGTTTGTATAAGGAACATACAAACAACAAAAATTGAAAATTGATAAAATTCCGCTGGTAAAATATTTTACTGCTAATAGCAAGCAATTATCTGGATTAGAAGTTCGAAAAAGTCTATTTTAAAAATGACTTATGATAATGTAAGTGTAATAGGCCGATAGATTAAAGAATTCCTACCAAGATAAAATTGAATTATTATTTCATCAGAACAAAAGTGTATTATGGAAGTATAATCAATTGCATGTCTTCCTTGTCACTTTTCTAACTTCTGCATCAGCTCATCGTAGTTTGTCCTGTATTGAGACAGCCACTACGATGCTGTCATAATGCCAATATATATATTCACTCCCTCCTTTTTTTCCAACTCAGTGTTTCATCATCCGTACAAATGTACATGAACCGTCCCCACAAATAGACATACTGTACCACTTTCTCGCACACCCACACACAAGCAAGCGCTGCTTTCTCAGTTAGTAATTATGTTCAGTTAAAGGCTTCCTTTTGTACATTTGTTTATGTTATTAAAATTAATTTGACAGGCTAGCCTGACCATTCAAATTTAATGTCAGCCCTATTGCAGTAATTGCAAAATACTCAGCTAGCCTGAGGTATTACCTAAGCACCTTTCCATCACCTAGAACAAGTGCCTTAGTTGTAGTGCATGTGCTTATCACAAATTTTGATAGCGTACTGCTAATTGTATGACCCAAAAAAATGTAGGCAGTTCCGATTAAACTTACATTTTATGTTAAGCTTAATAACATGTGCATCTAGTTGTAGAGTGTATATTTTGTCCAGAACACCAGACACTTTTCTTAATACTAACCTAGTATTCATCATTTTTTTTAAGAACATTAATGAGGGAAGATGACATCCCTTAAGCAAGTTCTTTTGTATCTGAACAACCCATTGTAATTCAAAATTGTATTTGTCAGACCCAAAGTCTATACGGTACAAATACTGTTATAATGTAGCATTACAATGTTACCTTTTTGCACTACTTTGGGTAAGGAGAACTTACCCAAGATAATAGCTTTATATTCTTGGTTTGGATGTAAAAATAATCTTCATTCACCTGATATTTCACTGATATTGCAACTGTTGAAAGTCACTCTGCTGAATAAACTTTTTCAATTACCGTATTTATTTCAAAAAATGCCTCCCTTGAATAAACATCCCCTCTACAACCACATTCCGATAAACGCCTTTCTCCAATAAACTCCCCGGGCGTTTATTTTTTCCTCGAATAAATTCTCCCTAAATGACTGTAAACAAGTGTAATGCAAGCAAAATTCTTCTTCATCTGTAGAACACATTGTTTCTAACCTGGTGAGATCAATAAGTTTTTATGAGCACGCAATAACACATTTTAACGCTAATTATTTGTTGTAGCTCCACATTTACAGTAAAATTATGGGGCGTTTATTTGAGTATATACGTATCCATTTTACACATAAAAATATGAACGCCTCCCTAGAATAAACATGCCCTCAAATACCCTTCTCAACAATAAATGCTCTGGGGTGTTTATTCAAATAGATACGATATATAGACTTCCTAACTTTACAGATACATTTTCCTGTTGTCTTGGTTGTCTGTTGTCACAAATATATATTTGAAATAGGGGCCCCTCTCCTCTCCATATTAATTAGGATTATAAATTTAATTTGAGTCTTTACCAATGTCTTATGAACTACTGGTCTTGTCTGAGGTGCTATACTGTAGCTCTGAGTTCATCCACTGTATGAAGAACTTACTTAACCTCTCCTGCTCATGTAAGTTTTTGATGTGGAAATAATACTAAGTCAAGTGAATGTAACAATAACGAGTAGATAATACTCACATATCATGTAACCCAATAAAGTTTGATTACCTCATCAAAACTAGGTACAAAGCCTCCTTGTTCTTAAGCAAAAGTGAAAGATTTTTTCCTGATATGTTACATAAAATGTTTCTATGTTTTGGCAAGTAAATCGGTCACCAGTCTATCACTTACATGCAACATGTGTGAAATGCATTGAAAGGGAATGATGATGTCCTAATGTAAAAAAAATGAAGGTGATATCTTAAGTTAGAATTGTTAAACAAATGTATGCGCCTTGAAACAATATTGATTTTATAAGTGGGCTATTTTATTTTAGCATGAGATCAGTACCATTATCAACATAGTCTACTGCACATATTAACATTACGGTACTTCCAAAGTTCATCAGAGGTACATCTGGGATTTTTAGTTAACAGGCCTATCAATTTCAGATGTTCCAGATGGTTTCAATCACACATGATATTATGCCTCCTTCTCTAACCCAGGTCTTACTGATAAAATAATATTTTCAGAGGTTTTAAGTAAAAGTGTAAAACTGTGTTATTTCACAGTTTTATGGGGCTATGCCCCTCTAAATCCACCTCTTGGTTGGATTGGATTAAGATCCCATTAAAGCCTTAAAACTTATTTCTAGTGTGATTTTATGATATGTTAATTGTTTTCATATTCTAGTTTCTATATCCCCAGATACTTTAATATTACTTACATTCATTTTTATATTCTTTTTTTTTCCCTCAGCATTATCCTCCAGAATTATAGATAGCATATTTTCTCATGGATCAGTACTCAGGTAAAGACATCCATCTATCCTGTTTTATTAAAAATATTATCCTTCAAAAACAACCCTGACCTGATAAAACTAAATTTGTTTGATATCGGGGATATCCATATCTTTAATCTGTGTTAACATCGGTAAAAATATTTGCAAAATGTTGTAATGTTTAAATTATATGGTTATATTTCATATTCAGACAAAAAATTCCCTGGGAAATCAAAAGCGAAAAGTCACCATATGAAAGTTTTGTGTGCCCGAAAACCAAACAAAACCAAATTCATTGCAGACATAAATACACCCTATATTAAAAAATATGAAACGTTTAATACCCACCTAGCAGTGGCAGTGCCAGTGTCTGAAATCTGGGAGCGGGGGTGGAAGTGAGGGGAAAGGTAAAATTTTAGGGGTGAAATATGCAGGTCTGGCCTGAAGTGGGCATGGCCGGGCGTCGCTCAAAATGTCTTGAAAGCTCTTGATAACCATGACAATTAGGGATGTCATAGGCTTTTTAATCGATTTTATAGATAGTCTACTAATATGTCAGCACCGCCATGCCACCTAGATTTCTTAGTGGGGGAGTACATAATTGAAAAAAAAAAAAAAAAAAAAGTACTCATTCAAAAAATTATATTCCAATCAGAAACAGATTGAAAATAACAATAGTTTTCACTGATTTACTGTCATCTTACTACAAAAAAGTTGTGTGGGCTATGCCAAAGAAGAATACAAAAATAGTTATTAATAACTGTCTGTTAATTGATGGGGGATGTTTTTAGTTCTAAGTAAATTTACTTAAATTTACAACATAGACAATTCTAAATATGGAATAATTTTTTTTCAGTTGTTTTTTTTTTCTTAGCTTATGACAGACAGTTACTGTAATGTACATCTTTAATGTTAGTAGTTTTTAATTCAAAATTAGAATGAAAAAAATGTTTTATTCTATAATTAACAGATGGATAAAAAATTAGTATTTGTATTATCTTGGAAAATGCTGTTAGTCAATCAAAAAATATTTGTAGTTTAGAAATATGTTAATAAGTGAAAACTTAATTTATATCTGATCAGAAGTTAATAACTTTATTTGATTTTTTTTTAAAGCTATGTAACATATTAATTTGATTAAAATTTTTGAGAGCTTTTTTTGCAAATTGTATAACAGATGTTAGGCAGTCAATTGAGGTAAAATCATGTGAAGTTAAAATTAGTCATTTTTCACTTGTATTTACTGATGGCTACTCTACAACTTCTTCATTGTGAATCTTTATGGGATAGCAGAAATTGTATTTTTTTTACTGCAAAATCCTAAACCATTATTTGGTATTCTGGTTTGGTATTATTTGGTTTTTTTAAATTTCTGACCTTTTATTTCATATATAAATATTAAAATTAAATAATTTATGATTTGGAAAAAGGCCACCACTGGAAGCATTAGCTTTGAAACGCAGAACCTTACAAATTAAAAATTTAGATCACAATTGAGGAATAATCAACCGGTAATTTGTATATTATTTTGAGTAATTGTCTGAGGAGATTATTTACATTTTGAGATTATTTTTGTTCTAATTTCAGTTCTAATTCTGTACGGGAAGGCCTGATGAGCTATACTGAATTTGTCTGGTTTTTGTTATCTGAAGAAGATAAAAAAACTCCAATGAGGTAGGAGAACCAATAGACCTTTCCGAAGTGTCATTCAAACTTAACAACTGACCAATCAGAAAAGGGCCAGGAATACGCATGTGGTGTCCAACAAGAAGAAGGGAGGGGGGCCTAGTGTACGGGTCCATTGAATTCATGGCCCACTATGCCTACATCCCTAACGCTTATGATGTTACATTAAGGTCCACCTGACTTATATGAAAAGCTTCAGTGGCAGATTGAAAGGGGTGGGGGGACTGACCCGGCCCGGGTCTCCACCCCCTTAACTTTTTCAAAATATATATAAAAATATGGAAAATTATAATCAAGTTCAGGTCTAAAAGTGCCATTTCCAGCCATCTAGAGGTGTCATGATAGTGAATTTTATTACCACAGCTCCAACCATGTTGGGGCTGAGGTGGTCTAGACTCCCGTCTGTGAAAGTTGCGGCCTGGGTCCCCTCTATTTCAAATTCTTGGATCTGACTCTGAGTTTAGTAGTTCTTATGTCTATGTAGTCGCTCATTTAGATCTACCACCAACACATTAGTTAGTAATACACACATTTCTGTATTCTATAATCTCAAATTATGGTGGTAGAGCGTTAATTGTTGTTATCCGAACTGTGGAATTATGCTGTCCAAAATTCTGTGATTGTGAAATATGGAAGTGTGTATATTGGTCTGAGGTACAGTACCTTACTGTATGGAAACAGAAAAAAAAAACCAGGCTGAAAAGAAATACTAAAAGAATGTTTGCTATATTGTTTTATAAACATGTAACAAATAAAGATTATAGATTTTCAACAAAGTTTATCTCTTAAACATGAATGGAACTATACTTATAAAAAAAAAATGGAGAAATGTTGTCTCCTGTGGTGTTGCTAGTGAGGTCCCTGGCACAATTTTCTAAGAAGCAAAATTTCTGAGAGGGGAAACTTGGTCCTCTGACAAGGGCCTTGTAATCCTTCTCTCTGTGGTGGTACCTTCACTATCAAGTGGTTGAAATCACTGTTGCCAACAGTTCATGCTTCATCAATACATTTATTGGTGACAATTAATTATATAAACATTTTTAAGAAAGTATGAATAATACAGTGGTGTATCCTGGATCTTGAAAAGGGTGGGTTGTTGAATAGAAATATTATATCCACTGAACTTTATGCACGATGCAAAACTTGGGATGGAGCATGTCAATGGCTACCACAACCCCATATATTTTTTTATAATACAGTCGACTTTGCTGAACTTAAATAATTTCCAAGTTGATCTTATTTTATGTGCCAGATTCAGGGACAGATCCAGAATTGGGGTACGAGGGGCAGGTGTGCCCCCCACCCCCCATTTAAAACTAAATTTTTTAAATTTCAATGCATATCAGTGTTGAGTGTTACTTATCTATTCTGAAACTGTTGTGCTCCCCCCCCCCACCTTTGAAAAATTCTCGATCCGCCCCAGAATTTGTGTTTTCCATAATTAATTAACAATCTGTAAGTCAAATGTTATCTAAGTCAAACAATTTTTCAATACCATTTTGACTTATGCAAGTTCAACTGTAATGTCTAAAGTAACTTGCCATTTATCTCCATTAACCTCCTAATATTTTATTCATGTTTGAACAAAAAGAGGGTGCTCGGGCACAAAGAAACGCCCCTGGTTACACCACTGAATGACATAATAATCTGATGCTATTATATTTATTGTAAATTTGTTTAATTTGTTTACCAGCATTGAATACTGGTTTCGCTGTATGGATATTGATGGTGACGGCTACTTATCAATGTATGAATTGCAATATTTTTATGAGGAGCAACTTGCCAAGATGGAAGGACTCGGAATAGAAACGCTTCCATTTGAAGACTGTTTGTGTCAAGTAAGTTGAAAATAATCTATAGAGTCATACATGTTCTTTCTCAAAATCAACTACTAACTGAAATATAAGTCAAATTTTATCACTTTCTGTCATTTACTTTATATATATATATATATATATATATATCTATAATTTGTTTCCTTGCAGATGCTGGATCTTGTTAAGCCTCTAGAGGGCGATAGAATAAGTTTACGTGATTTAAAAGCCTGTAAACTAGGTTATATTTTTTTTGATACATTCTTCAACCTTGAGAAGTATCTCGACCATGAGCAACGAGATCCTTTTTCAAACATTCGGGTAAATATTGTCATGTTGTTTATTATTGTAAGTTTATAAACAATTTTTACTAAATTAGTTGTAATATAGTGTGGGTGAATGAACAAGGATTGATTGGTCTTTTTCTCTTTAGATGGGCCTGTTGTAACCTGATTTCTTAGTAACCCTATGATGCTATTTGCATTTTGTGTATTTTATAGGGTTATCATTTTTTGATTACATATTATTACTGTTGTTTTGTTGAATAAGTGTCTTATATAGGAAAGATAAGGTACCATTTCTTTTGTTTTTATTTTAAATTATTCAAAAATTCAACTACTGATTTGTGGGTGCAAACATTTCAGGTTAAAATGTGATCTATTTATTAAGGGCCCTGTACACATCATGAATTTTAATTTGTTTTTATTTGTGAAATAACAAAAACAAAAAATGTTCTTTTTGTTTGTTTTCATAGAGTGATGAAACAGATCTTGCTGAACCTTCTGATTGGGAAAAATATGCTGCTGAGGAATATGAGATGTTAGTAGCAGAGGAAGCGAGTCAGGAACAGTCTGCCCTTGACGCAACTGATGTGTAAGTATTAACTCCCTGTTTATAAAAATATGGAAAATTTGCATGAAAATTCAAGTAATACTTTAAATAGCTCATTTATAGAACCAGACAATGTAGTAGCTTTATGTACTGTACTTTATAAATAATTAAAAAAATGTTTTTGTGATCCACAGATTTTTTTTACTACAAAAAATCTTAGATTGACTATCAGCCAATTAAAGAATATTCTTAGGCGAGAATTTTTTTTATACCTTGTTTCACAAACTTTATTTTTTAAAGATTGTCAGAGGAGGGCAGAAAAAATTATTTAGCAAATGGTTATGCCAAAATCATCCAGATGGAGGACAAAAAAAATTTTAATTCTAAAATAAAAGAGAAAAGAAGAAATATACATATGTTATTTTTTGAGATTATACAGCTACTATTTACAGTAGACACAATAACGACACATCAACAACATATCATCTCATCGTTTACCGTACATTATTCAACACTGAGCATATTTTTATCGTGTCTAGTGTAAATTGAACTTAAGGCAGCAGCGGGCGTAATAAAAATAAAGAAAAAATTTTATTATTTTTGTCTTAAATTTCCATTTTTTCGTGGCGGTAGGTGCCCTAATTGACTTGGTAGAAACAATTAAAATTTTCAACAATGGCTTTTCTGCTGGTGTTAGAAAGGCCATTGATACTATTGAAAAAAACCTTTCAAGATATTTTTTAGAATTTAATTCAGAAAGCTGATATCTGTAATAACAGTGTAACAAGTATAGAAACCAATTTTACAACGTATATGCATCAATTGTCTTTGATCCTCAGTGAATATCAAGATGATTTTGAGCAAGACGAAGATGAGGATGACGAAGCCATTATGTCAATAGACGAAGCCATGAAGAAATTAGCAGCATCAGAGCCGCCAGAAAGTAGGACATGGAACCTGAACAATAACTCTGAAAGGAGTTGATATGGTGGGGAAATTAGCAAGTGGCCTGTATGTCTTCAGGGTCTGAGTGCAGTAACTTAACCGGCAGGGAACTCTTAACACCTTATACTAAGCTTACCCTAGTAGTGGCAAGTCTCTTGGTTAGGGCCTTCCCTTTCTCTACTGGAGGCCGGTTCTAAGAGGATCCAAACATCATTGGCACTATGAGACTCAGTTAACCACAATGGATCTTTCCAAAGTGTTAATCAAACTGACAAATCAGATTGTGTTATTTAATAGCCAGGAATACACTCATGTTCTACAAACATGCGAGTAGATTATTAATGTACTATTCATCTATTATTTTAACGTTTACGCTGTCTATACTGGTGTCAATATCCTTAGCAACAATATCCAAAGTGTGTAGGCTTCATTATCACTTACTTATCATTAAGTAAAGCACATATTTCTAGATACTATACAAATCACAATATCCTGTAATATAAAATATTAGATGAATAATACACAAAAGTTCAGAGCAATGTATTTTGCAAGCAGATGAAAGATTAAAGCTTGTGTCCACACTATCAAATTTTATCTGACAATGTGTGATGTGCCCATTACATGGCATGATGATGTCATATATATAACAACCAAATACAGTATGGGCATATCAATTATTTTTCACATAATATTTGGTGGTTGGGACAAAGCTTAGTACTTTTAGTCTTACTATATTCTTGTCAAACACATTTTGTAATCCAATGCAATAATCGGTTATGGAGTGTAGATAATTCTTCCAGACTATTTTATTTATTTTATTTAGGTTTTTAATTGGGAGAGGTTAGATTGTTTACAAAATTTTCTTAAAATTTGTAGGATTTTTTTATATAATATCTAAATAGGTTTTGTATTCAATTGGTGGCTAGGCCTTTTACTCTCTTCAACTCACTTCTACTGTGTATTTTTCTCAAAAACAAAAATTATTATTCACTAGAATTCGCCTCTGGATAATTTTAAATGAATTTTTATAGGCAGCATATAGAAATATGTATCAATCACAAAAAAAAAAAAAAAAAAATTATTTATACAGTTAAAACCCAAATCTTACAGTAAGAATATTCATTTTTTTTCTCTAATTATCTGTCGTCAGTAGTGCTAGTTTGTTTGTTTTCCATTTAATACATCTTATCATGGACCTATTAATTAATAATAATAGGTCCATGATCTTATTCACAACTCTTGTCTGAAATTATATTGAGGGCAGCAAACAGTCAAGTTTGAAAGTGTTGCTTTATTTCCACTAAGTGCATTACAGTATTATTATATTGATCGTCTTGAGGGGGTAAAGGTGACTGGTTTCAAAAAGTAAGGATACTTTACAAAGTACCAAAAAATAAGATTCCATGTCACTTACAGTAACTCAACCTCAATTTCTAAAAGATTAGTTGTACTGTAGATATTTTAAATATAGATATGAGATATATGTATAACGTATGATTGTAGGTTCAGGTCTGTGATTGGTTGGTCTATAGACTTGTTTTGTCACAATTTTTATATCACAACAAATTTATATTTTGATTCTTTTATTATTTCTCCATTTTATAAGTATTGGTTATTTATACTCTACAGATATAAGTGAACTTTAAAAGCTTCATGTTTATTCTTAAGTACATGGTGGGCTTATTATACCCGTGTATCGGTTTATGTCTGGAAAATAGTACAATATTTGAAATATTTTTTCTTATATTATATTGTAATTGATATTGTGTTGATAATAAATATTAATATCACTACCATTATTTTTATTATTTACAATATTATATAACTATTTGTTTTATATTTCAAATTTACAATGAGAAAAAAATTATTATGATAAAGAACAAAAATTATTTCAAATACTTTATTTACATCAATTGTTTAAAAACGTAATTTCACTAGCAAATACGGATGCATTCTATATTATTGCAATTTTGGCACAGAAAATTCATTTAAAAAAGGCATAGGTGGATGATTTTTAAATGTTAATGGTGATTATAATGGTGATGATGACAATCATGATCAAGGTGATATGATGATTGTGATGATCATCATGATCGTTATATGATCATTATATGGTCGTCAGCATGATGATCATCGTGAGCATGATCTTGAAAATAGTATGATGGTAAATTAAGATGATTAAGTGTCATGATGATGATCATCATCAGAAGTACTTATCATGATGCCATAAATGATGTGCATAAGGGAAAAAAATAAAATGTATATTAAACATATACTAATTGTTTAAAAAAATCATGTTGACAGATTACAAGAGCCAATTCCAAAGGCTGTGTTAATTTTGTTTGAACATAATACAGTTAGAAATTTAAAATTGTTATTTACTTTGTTATTAAGTGCGCCCTCTGTGTTCCGACTGTAGTGGTTCGATCATGTGGATTTGTTTCAAATGTTTCTGTTACTTTCACTACGTATCTTTATTTCAGTACATTTCGTTTTAGTTCAAAGGGGTTCATTTATATTCTATTGTACACCATGAATGGAGAATTTAATAAAAAAAACAAGCCATTCTGGAAAAACCAATATTTTTTAACAGTTGTTGATCTTCACGGATATCGTACGAATATTTTAACAGTCTTCAAAAACTCTTTATTAGGGAGCTTTCGATTTGTGTGACGCTAGAATGGAATCATATCACTCATGCGTGACCGTCCTTACCTGGCGTCCTACGTTCTCTGCTTACGTAGATTTGGCCAAATTGCGTTCCAGAATCTAGTCAGTGAGGTGAACTGAACGTTCTCGCATGCGCAGATGACTTAGTGACGTCATTACGTTCTACGTCCTACCGTCGTCATGCAATCGAAAGCTTCCTATTTTGACAATTAATGCTACATGAAAATTTAATCTTTACACCTTCACCTTTGACATATGAGCAATTGAAGATATGAGTGGATTTCACGTCAGCTCTAATGGCAGACTTTCTCCCACATTGATTCCAAACCAATCAGAACTGGGCCAGGAATATGCGCTTGGTCCGAAAACACATGTTCATGGATTATTAGAGGGGCATAACGGAAGAACCCCTAACCTATTTTTAGTAAAGTAAACCAACATTTATCCCCTCAAATTTCACAAAAAAAAACAGATTTTGTGCGCGACCCCCATTGTTAATTCAATTTGCATCCTGACCAATTAGTACTGCCATACCTCTGACCTGATGGTACATGTGTATGGACTGTCTCTTATACACATCTAGATGTGTATAAGAGACAGGATATGTATATCTGTGAACTGGTATAAACTTCATAATTAATATTAAGTGTCCACAGAGTCATATGGCCAGTCAAAATATGGGGTATTTTCAGGGTCAATAGTCCTGCAACCATGTTCAATCATACCTTCATTATGCTCTAATTATCTTGCAAACGTTTATATATGTAGTAGTATGAGCATCATCACAGGTTTAATTTGAACCTCCTTACTTTATTGAACGATAAGATACGGCCATCTGAAAAAGCAAAAATCTATTTTTGCACAATGATTGGAGGATTTTTGGGGGCGTGTAACATTCTAGAAATATGTGCTACCCAAATTTGAATGGTATTTCTTGAAAGAGGGGTCAAATATCAGTCTAGATAGCAATTTTCAACGTTTTATCTTCGTTATTCCTGGAGATATAGCTTTGTAAACACCATACAATATGTTTGAACAATGTAAAATTGCAGAAACATTTTGAATATATGTGTATGTAATTTATTCGCACCACTAAGTTAATTCACTTCAGAATGTATAATTTTTGTGTTGTTTGAAAATTAAAAGACAATTATGAACGAAGTTGACTTTCTCCCGCATTGATTCCAAACCAATCAGAACTGGGCCAGGAATATGCGCTTGGTCCGAAAACACATGTTCATGGATTATTAGAGGGGCGTAACGGAAGAACCACTAACCTATTTTTAGTAAAGTAAACCAACATTCAACTCAAATTTCACCAAAAAAAAGAAGAAAAAAACGATTTTGTGAACGACCCCCATTGTTAATTCAATTTGCATCCTGACCAATTAGTACTGCCATACCTCTGACCTGATGGTACATGTGTATGGATATTCCTCAAAATATCATTACAATAAGTTGATGCTGGTAACAGAAGGCAATTTCATAAATTGCACAATATGGAAGGATATTGTTTTTTTTAAACTTTCATTTTTAGTGCCGGTCGGAGACTTCCCTAAGCATTGCAGGATGTATATATCAAGAATGCTGGCACAATCCCTAATTGGTGGTATAATAATAAACAGCTATAAGTAACTGTCTTTCAAATATGTAACAGTCGAAGTAACTTTCCTAGCAGGCTTCTCTTGTAGACAGATGAGAGTATCTGATACCGGTTTACCAGAAGTTGAGCTTTGACACGAAGGAATGATTGTAGAGGAGTTGCTGTACGAGTTAACCCATACATCGAGCGATTTGAGACTTCTGTAGGAAGCGCTATATACAGTAAATTGAAGTACTTGTACATAATGACGAATTTAAGTGATTGCTATCTAGCATACTGTAGGCCTGTATTCAACCGAACAAGTACAGGCAACAGGACACCCCGTCGGAAAGAAAATAAAATAATTCGTTGGGGAGAAAAAAAAAATTATATGATCTTAACAGAATGCGAGACTTAAAAAGTTTCCGATTGTGTATAATATAACAATAACGACTAGCTGTCCAATCAGAACAAAGTTAATTAATCTGTAGTATTTTAAAGGCCCTACATTATTCTAACATTCGAGTAAGTGCCGCTACATCTTTTAAACCTTGTTTCGTATCATCGAGAAACTAACTACACAGACTTCACTCTGAAATATAAAACTAAAGTTACAGTAAGTCATCCTTTGTACAAACATAAACGCGAATATGATTTTGAATGAGCGCTGCTTAATTACCAAGGCGGCAATGAAGGCTTCATAATATAAACACTGCGACGCTCGTTACGTACGGTACTGTAATTTACGGTAAATATAAATCTTTCCTTAAAAATTGAAGTTTGATTGAGAGAAGTTGTTTATATGTATATTGGTCTAACGAAGATGAAAAGAACATTGCTCAAGAGAACGGGAGAAAAAAAAAGTGAAATTGAAAAAAAAGGTGTTACAGATGCACAACATTACACATTTTGTATGAAAACACTCTGCCCTAGATGTGTATCTATATTATATTGCTGGTAATTACGCTTATAAACGTCTGTAATTCGAAACCTGCCGGTTTTAAAAACTGTAACAAACAGATGGTGAAAGTCGCGATCTTAAGTGAATCAGTCCATATTTCAAATTAATTGAGGGTAAAAATGACTTTTGCAGTCGTTTTTTCACTGGACCAGAAACCTTTCGGAGCACATGTGTGATGTTTACGTACCGTTACTTACACATTCCCTAGCCGTGTCTCAGTCAGTAAAACAGGTATTTTGCGGTTTTATATGGAACGCCAAAAGTGCAACTTTCAAACTCGATTTTCAAACACAACCGGTTTTCAAGTACTGTCTGTTTTCGGTTTCTCAATGAGTTGTTACTGTAAAACTTTTCTTTGGCTGCCCCTGACCAAAATATGTTGTATTGTATGCCTAGGACTACCTGTTGCAAATCATTTTAACTTTAAATTAAAAAAAAAAAAACAAGGAAAATAATGGTGGAAAATACAAGATATTTCCCCCTACCAATTAACACTACTGCTACTTCATTATGTAACATTACGTAGCTAAAGAAATAACTGAGATATAACATATAACATGCAAAACTTATCTTCTTTTAGTGCCCATTACCATTTTATTGAAAGTAATCGCGACGTTCACATACTACAGCAGAGGGTATGCCTACAAGCGGGCGAAGCGAACGCTATACTTTAGTACCTACAGTATATAATACATCTCGACATTGAGAGATCTTCCTGCAATTTCCTTGGCATAAGGCCAGCAAAAAACGTCAGTCAAATCGTGACAAGTACCGTATAGTACCGTATGCAGTATAAATTCAAAAACATTTAGGAAGAGAAAATGGTTGCAGGTAGTTTCATAAAGCAATCTCCCGGAGTTTGTTAGCTTTCTCGCCACCACCAGCACATTTTCAGAGATATTCTGTTACATTAATTTTAATATATTACGTCAGAAAATTTAAAATGGAGTACACACACATACTTGTTATTTTTGTTGTCATTGTCAAAACGATTGCAAGTCCAGTGGGCCAAGATGCATCGACGTCCTCCGGGTGCCCAGCTGTTAATCAAACATGTAACACCATGATTAAGGAGTTGGAATCTGTTCGTATAATGTTAGATGCAAATGAGAAAAAATGTGATTGTGGTGTATTGAGCGACGCTCAGAAAGCTATAGCGGCGCAGGATCAACTACTACGCAGCAATGGTAAGACCAGCAGATAGGCAGCAAAAGCTTTTGTTTTCTTATTTTTATTCTTTGAGAGTAAAACGAAAGTTCCTTGTTTCCGAAAAGTTTGGTAACAGGTTATCCAATTTTACCAAGACTATTCGTCAACGATTTTAAGTTCATTCTTACAATTTTTTCTGTGCTAACGATAGCCACCGTCTCGTCTCAAGTTGTCTGCAGGGAGCATACACCTACATTAGCCCATGGAGTTGGAGTAAACTTTAAGATATCTATAGATTCTCATAAATGGGGCTCTCATGCTCTGTAAAATATCCCGGTGAAATGATTGGCCTCTTCCAGGCGTGTGGGGGAGGGGGGCTTTGGGTTTTTTGACTGGGACCTGAGCATCCTAGACCATCGCTGATGACATTGCTGCACTTAGCTGTACGGCAGTACACGTAGCCTCAATGCATATAAAATGTAATATGAAAAACTTATGGACTTTAACAGACGTCCTACCCCCGTATTGTTTATCAATTTTAGTAACGGACAGAGAAATTGCAATTTGACTCCCATAATAATAATAATCTTTTATAAATGTATTTTGATTGTGCAGTGGTGGTTCCAGAAAACGCCAACACGGACCGTGTTGGCGTTTTCCTGGAACCAGCAAGCCCTGGGAAAGGCTAGGACCCTCAATCAGTACCCGCCCGGAGCTCAGTTGGTTCAGAGATGTTATGGTTTAGGATGATAAAAATTGTGGCTTTGGACTCCAACATTTTAGAAATTTTATTATCACAAATTCACAATAACTTAAATCGGCATTGACTCCCCCACTGAATTGCAACACAATTCGCTTATTGTAATTTTATTTTAAGACATCATAATTATAACAGGAACAAGGCTTTACGCTTACTTGCTTTTACACAGATTAATGAGGTAATTGCAATATTAATATTATTCGAAGTTTTTAATAATTTAATTTTACCTTCTTATTTATCATTTTTTGCATCTAAAGAAAAGAATCGGTTATGAGTTTATTATTTATTTCTGATTTATACAAAGCACTTCTCCAGAAAACTGCTCAAGGCGCTTTCTTTCCTGGTCATTGGATACAGATTCAATAATTTTGTAAAAATCAGATGCGATATAAACCATATGGAAACATTTCAAAAGTATTTTCACATTGTATATATGGAAAACAATGCAATCGCTTTTATCCACTATTTAGGATGCATTCACATGGCTGCATAGAATTAAGGTGAAACGTTTAACTGTCAGGTGGCAACGGACCGGACGCCGATATTTCCTCTCGTGGCATATGGTATAAGGTACCATATCAATACAACACTGAGTTTGTGAACTTATCATTTTCATTGGTTATCGTTGTTTCTTTTCCTGGAGTCTGTTGTTCGTGACCTGAAGTTTGAGTAAATTCTGTTCAAAGAGAAAAATTGAATAATGCACTCTTTGCTTCATTTTCATGTTGTACATACTTTTCCTGCCATCAAATGGATAAACTACTATTCGTGAACTCTTATGCCAACTGACTCGGTTACACTCACTGTATATATTACTTCTTTTTGGAAAGCAGTTACACATAAAAAGATTTCATAAAAAGTTTGCATACTAAAAAAAATCGGGTTTCCCAGATGCCTTAATTTGCTAAGGCATATATTTTTATTAAGAGTGAATAATATTATATAATTTTAAAGACTAGCTGAGTTTAATTTTAAACCGTTACAAAGAATTCTTTATGTAACAGCTGTCTCTTATACACATCTAGATGTGTATAAGAGACAGTGCAAGTCCCTCCCTGTCCCCCCTCTAATTTGCCTTCCTGGAGCTGCCACTGATAACATGTATTATAACGATATTACGATTCACTCATCATCTGCATGTGGAACAGCGCCATCAAGATACTACGATTGTTAAACACGAGGTCGCATTAAACATTTTTTAACAATTTTTCCTGGAAAAAGTGAAGGAAAAGTTTGTTCTTTTTCATACAAGATGCAAAAATTGTGGAGCACATTATTTAATAGCAAAACTAAATACTGCATTGATATCCAGTTAGGGAATATGTTTATAATCTATCTATTATATTAATTAATAATAATAATTATCTATTATTATAATCTATATTAAAAGTAAAAGTGTCCATATTTTGTGCAAATCCTTAATAATTTGATCAAATTACAATTTTAGTATTAAACATTGTTGACATTAAACATGGTAGATGTGCCCTCATTCTTTGTCTGAATGTCACAAATATCATATAAATTTTTAATTAATTAGCGAATTATTTATTTTTGTAGTTGAATTCATAACTTAATTAAATTAACTTATTGTTGATTTATTCTATTTTTTATGTGTTTGTGGTGTGTTTGTGATGTAGTTTTAATGTTTTTCTCCCCTTCAATTTTGATTTTACTTATTCTGTAATGTTAATGAGAGATTGCAATAAAGTTCTTCGTATATTACGTACCGTAATGTCTATCCTGCCTGTTTGTGTCTTATGATGAATCTGGATTTTATTTTTTTTTCTCATTCACTTTTCATATTATTTATCCACACTACTTATTTAAACTTCTAACTCTGTATGAAATGTGTAAGAAATTTGATTGCAAGATAGGTGATGCAGGCGTGACCAGGGGTGGCGCCAGCGGTGGGCTGAACTACTTTAAAAAACATTTTAATCGACGTTCGACCACGCCCACTTTGCTCTCGTCTGGGAAATCTGCCCCTCGTCGGGGCATCGGGTGCCCATCGGGGACCTCGGACCTCCCGTCGGGCAAATCTTCGCACCACCCCTGGGCGTGACAAGACGCCTAAGAATTTGTTTATCGTCCAAGGCTAGATTCTGGTTAACTGCACATGTTATAACATAAATGTGGGCACTTTTCGGGAATATAGGCTTAAATATCTTCTTCCTCATAATTGTTGTTATTAGGCCTATTCGCCTCTTCTTTTTCTTCTTCCGGATTTACCAATAACTTCAAATTGAATGCTTCCTTTTACCAAGTCATCGTTTTGTTTTGTTTTGCTACAGTATTAAATGTTATGCTTATACTTTTTTACAGATTGCCCTGAATTTCCAGCACCTGTCGATTGTGCGGAGATGAAACAACGTAATCCAAAAGCAATCAGCGGACCATATTACATCAAACCCAGAGGTTACCACAGAAAATTCCGAGTTTATTGCGATATGTTTACAGATGGAGGAGGGTGGACTGTCTTTCAACGCCGTATGGATGGTTCAGTCGTCTTCAACAGAACTTGGAATTACTACAAAGAAGGTTTTGGGAGTGTGATGGGCGAGCACTGGCTGGGAAACGACTACCTATATTACCTGACGAGACAGACTGATTACACGCTGCGTATTGATATGGAGGACTGGCACGATGTTAAGACCTACGCAAAGTACTCAGAATTTTACATCAAAGGAGAAAGCGACAACTATCGGGTAAATTATGGCATCTATCTCAGTGGAACGGCAACAGACCGATTTGCGTATCATAAAAAACAGCAATTTACAACTTTTGACCGAGACAACGACCGCTATTCCTATGGAAACTGTGCAGCAAGGCACAGTGGTGGATGGTGGTTTAATTCATGCGATGAATGCAACCTTAACGGTAAATACTATCATTCCAATACGTATACCGGTTCCTTTGACAATGGTATCGAATGGGAAAACGGAAGCACTGATTTTACTCCCGGTCGTATTTTCTATTCGCTGAAAGTTGCAGAAATGAAAGTGCGACCGACCTTCTACTAAAATGTACTGCATCTATTTCAAAAAATAAAAAGAAAAACTGTTTATGAATCAAATATTGTTGAATATTCAATTATGGAAACATGAATATTAATTTTATGCACGGGACTCGATATAAATGTATGGTAGATTTTACAATACAATTTTATTTTTTATATTTTTCAATTTATAAAAGTATTAACTCGACCTATTAATTGTTAAAGCATAGTTTTTAATTAAAAGAATATTATTTTCATTAATAATTTTAATTATTTATTTATTTACCTGTCGTCCGTTCCTGTATGCAATTTACAACCCTTATTATTTATCCATTGCATTAACGCGTAGTAAGATATTTACATTGGCGTCGGTAAACAGTTATTATTAACACTTAAAACTATTCGTAGCCCTTTATCCGTACATATGGTGGTGACGTAGTTAGTATAGTAATGGTTTTGACGAGGTAATTAGTTACGGTTACGGTTGTGCCGGTATGGATTTTTGACGGTTATTTGTATGGCGACGGTTATGACGGCACCGTAATTAATATGGTGCCGTTTGTGACGGTAATTGTTATGGTGACGGTTGTGGCAGTAATTTTGTAACGGTAAATAGTATCTGAGACAACTATACACGTGTATAAGCGGGCCAGCTCTCCCGCTCTCCCCTACAGGCCCCCTCCCCCACTGGCGCCACCCCTGTGAAGGAACATGGTTTATCATTTGTTTTTCATGGTTCTAATAGCTAATTAGTAAATAATAAATCACCATTTTTATGAATGTTGGTTAGCACGAAATATGTAAGCAGGAATGATTAAGATTACTAGGATAAATTTTTAAAAAAAATTATGATGAGTATTTCAGTGACAGATTCAAGGGGGACCATCCGGCCCACCCTCCCTATTTCTTTTTAAATTTAAAAGTGGAGAAAAAAGATGATTCAAACTGAAGTCTGAAAGTGCCATCTCCGGCCAACTAGAGGTACCGTAATCATAAATTTTCTTATCTCAGCCCCAACTACGGTGGGGCTGAAGTGGTCTACACTCCATCTGTAAAATTCCCTCCTCCCTGACCCCCTATTGGAATTCCTAAAACCGCCCCTGTATTTTAAAAATGTAGTGTGGAAATAAATTTTAATTGCATTCCTTAAGATTAATTAGATACGAGTTATAAAAGGCTATAGACGCCAGAACTTCCAGGGGCCTCGCCGTAGGTCCAAAACTTCCTTATTTTGGAATTCGTTCCCCCCCCCCCTCACCAACTCCCACTTTTCACAACGGATCGACGCCCTTGATCTTAGGGATTGGCAATCACAATTATTTTAATTATGGATTTAAAACTAAATATTTCGACGACCTCGCCGTGACGTCGGACGAGGTGTGTGGGTAGAGGGGTGTCCAAGTTTTTAAGGGGGTGGGGATCCAACACAATCATCAATTCCAGTGCGATGCAAGGCAACGATAACTAGAATAAATATGCCCTTGATTATACTCTACAATCACTATGTTATTCGAAACTTCACGGTATTCATTAATTTGTAGGCCTAGGCATATTTCCAAATATAATGCATCGAATATTGCATCCTGTGTGACGTGTTCAGATAAGGTAATTGCATAGGCGGGGAGGGGGAGCTCTCCCATACGGGGCCCTGCCCCCCCCCCCCCACTGGCGCACCCCTGTGAAGGAACGTGGTTTATCATTTGTTTTTCATGGTTCTAATACTTCACAAGCTAATTAGTAAATTATAAATCACTATTTTTATGAATGTTAGTTTGCACAAAATATGTAAGCGGGAATGGTTAAGATTACCAGGATAAATTTAAAAAAAAGTATGATGAGTATTTCAGTGACAGATTCAAGGGGGACCAGCCGGCCCACCCTCCCTATTTTTTTCAAAATTTAAAAGTGGAGAAAAAAGAAGATTATATTCAAATTTAAGTCTGAAAGTGCCATTTCCGGCCAACTAGAGGTACCGTAATCATAAATTTTCTTATCTCAGCACCAACTAGTATGGTGGGGTTGAGGTGGTCTACACTCCATTTGTAAAATTCCCTCCCTGGGCCTCTTGGAATTCCTAAACCCGCCCCTATATTTTAAAAATGTAGTATGGAAATAAATTTTAATTGCATTCCTTAAGATTAATTAGATACTACTTATAAAAGGCTATAGACGCCAGAACTTCCAGGGGCCTCGCCAATATTTTGACTATGTATGGGATAAAATGGAGTTTTACACACTTCAAAAGACTGTCACAGAAATAATTTGCACTGTATTATGCGCTTACAAAGATGAAAATTAGCATAATGTATTAATGTTGATAACAAAGTTATTTTATCTGGTACCAATCTAAGCTCTTCTTTCCTTAGATGTTAGATGTGCTTGCAAAGAGAGCCACATTTCACACTCAAGGGTGTGTACAACATCAGTAATGTTATGTCAATTCCAAGAATGTTTAAGGTTATATCGGTTGATGAGAAATTTATTGATTAGGCCTATAATAGCAAATTGCATCAATTTATTTTGCAAAAACAAGAATTCCAGCTTCAGAGGGGGGAACATCTGTCCGCACAAGGGCACACATTGGCGCCAACACCAGGCGCGTAACAGGGGTCTTGGGTCAGAGTGGGTATTTATTTTCCCGGTTAGTAATTTACCATACCCACCCCACCCCGCTCCCCATATAAAAAACAATACGACATAGGGCTTATCTTATTTATAATATAGGCCACACAAGTGTGTTTGAAACTAAATATAAGCATTTTCATCATGGTTTTATTTATTACAAACATATTCTTTCACCATCAATACATATTGAGGCCCTTCTTTTTGGTTAAAACGATTCTATCTTAAATTTGTCTTTCTTGAGTTTGGGACTATTATTAGGCTTATGTGTTTAAATAACTTAAAAGGATAAACCTAAAAAAGCCCTAAAAAATGCGCGCCAAGCGCGCAAAATATTTCTGTGTTTTTAATTCTAATTTCGGAATTGATGAAAACTCCCAAAAATGTGTAATTTATAGAGGAAATTGGCCTACCGTAACAAGAAATGCGAGCAAAGAATTTAAGAATTTTAGGCACTTTCAGAGGATGCATTTGTCAAGTGGTGGGGAAAGATTTTCCAAAGATGGATATTTTTTCCTTGTCCCCCGGTGTTTTTAATTCTAATTTCGTTGGAATTGATCAAAACTCCCTAAAATGTGCAATTTTTAGAGGAAATTGACCCATGCTTACAAGAAATGCGCGCGAAGCGCTCGAAATTTGAGGTTTTTTAGGCACTTTCAGGGGATGAAATGGGCATTTATAAAGGTGTGGAGATAGATATTTTCCCCTTGTCCCCCAGTGGTTAAGCCATCGGGCAGCATAGATCAAAGGAGTTATGACAGTTTTTGAAGTGGAGAAGGGTTGCAGGGTGTTGTGAGTCTGGTCATTATGATATCTTCCTTTCTTGTCTTTATTTTTCTCTTCTCTTTTTCTTTTTCTTTCCTTTTCTTTTTTTTTTCTTCTTTCTCTTTCCCTCCCTCTCCCCTCTTTCTTTTCTCTTATTACCCAGCCCGGTACAACGGATTGGTCAGCCCGGTAAAATCCGTCAGGGGAGGGGCAGTTTTCCCCTGCCCCCTGCCCCCTCGCGCCTGTTACGACACTGGCTTACACGCCAATCATCCCCCCCCCCAATGAAAAAAACTTTTCTACGCCACTGCCTAATACAAAATGCTGATATCTTTTGTTCCTGCACCCTGGTCGGGGCCCTTTCCCTTTATTCCAGGTTGGACTCACTTCTTTCTGCATTAGTGTCTCCAAAACTTAAACCATGCCACCACCTATGTCAAAATAATTGCTATCATCATCATAATCGTCGTCGTTATCGTCCTCTACACTATCATCATCATCGTCGTCAACGTCACCACCACCATTACCACTGACATCACCCTCATAGTTGTTATCCCCTTATCATAATCATCCTCTCATCGTCGTCATCATCATCATCATTATCATTATCATATATTTTTTTCTTGACACCCAGTTAAATAAAGTTTCACAGTATGGCTTCTGAATCCCTGTTAAACTAGCCACATTCTAACATTGCACCCCTCCAACCTTTCACATAAAAACCTGGATCGCCCTTGAATCTTATGTGCTCTATTGGGTAGGCCTGGTAGATTTGTCTATGGAGGTTAACCTACAGTACATGAGCTGCCTGCCATAATTAACTAAAATTAAAGTGTAATCTGTATAAGGAGCAGAAGCAAACGCAGCATTTAATTTTAAAAATTAATAATTCAAGTGAATACACAAAGAACAACTCATCTAGAGTGTGACTAATAATTCATTATTGCTTCAAGCTGAATTTGGCAAATAAGTGAAATTAAAATTGTACCATCACTATGTTATTTGAAACTTTACGGTATTCAATAATTTGTAGGCCTAGGCCTATTTCCAAATATAATGAATCGAATATTGCTTCCTGTGTGACGTGTTCACATAATGTAATTGCATAGACCTATATGTTTTACAATACCCTGCACGCTGTGTAAATATAGACAGTCATGCACAGTTATTCATAAAATATGTCATAAAATATGTCATAAAATAAACACACATAAAAATAAATAAATAAATAAAATAAAATTAATTAATTAATTCAAAAAAAAATAATAATAATGCAGAAAAAAAACTATGTACACGCTGCAGGGGGGAAACGGCGCCGCGAGCAGCTCTACCTAGAGATGGATATGTCCGCCTAAATAAGATGTTTTTTATTGTTATTGTTAATTAATGTTGTTGTTGTTATGTGTTTGTGTGTGTAAAGATTCTTGAGTGTAAACAAATGAATAAGAATTGTACATAAATTACTTTTAGAGACCAATTAATTTTTATTTTCTGCAAATGTAAACACGTCAGAGCAAAATATATATAGCCCTAGCCATATCAAATATATATAATATGATTAAATGGTGGTAGTTTAGTGGTTATGACGTGTATATATTATATTATATTATATTATATTATTTTATATTATATTATATTATATTATATTATATTATATTATATTATATTATATTATATTATATTATATTATATTATATTATATTATCAACATCAACATCATCATCATCGTCATTATCATTTTATATTTTTTCTTGACACCCAAGTAAACAAAGTTTCCACAGTATGGCTTCTGAATCCCTGTTAAACTAGCCACATTCTAACATTGCGCCCTTCCACCCTTTCACAAAAAAAACTGGATCGCACTTGAATCTTAT